TGCCCCGTGCACGCCCCCCACCCCGTGCACTCACCCACCCTGGGTGGCGGGGCCTGGGGGCGGCTCCCCCCTSTCCGTGTCCCCATGCGCCTCCCCGCCGCGTCCCCGGTGTCCTCGTGTCCCTCGGGCCCCATGTCCCCATGGTCTCTGTTGTCCCCGTGTCCCCAGCCTCTCTGTCCCCGTGTCCCYGTGTCTCCCTGTCCTCGCTTCCTCCCATCGCTTTGTCCTCACGTCCTCCCAGCCCTGCGTGTCCCTGGCCCTGTGTCCCCATGTCCCTCTGTCGCCCTGTGCCGCCCTGTCCCCCCATTCCTACGTCCCTTCTCCCCAGCTCTCCCTGCACCCTCATTCCTCCCTGTCCCCTTGTCCGCCTGTCCGTGTGTCCTAGTGTCCCCTTAGCCCTGTTCCTGCACCATCCTGTGTCCCGTGCCCCCCATCCCCATGTCCCCTGTCCCTGCGATGTGAGGCAGGGTGGCACCGGCAGGGTGGGGGCCCAGGCGTCCTGCCCGCGGCCGCCCCCATGGCTCCGTGTCACAGCGCTGGCCGCCGGCTCCCCCGGCGCGGACGAGTGCCCGGAGGAGGACGAGGACGAGCTGGAGCCGGGGCTGGACGAGGCGGAGGCCGACGCGGAGGCCGGCGGCGCCGCCAGGGCGGCGGGGGCGGCGCGGGGGGCCGTGCTCACCCGCCGCGCCATCACCCTGCGCGTGCTGCTCCGCGACGGCCTCCTGGAGCCGGCGCGCGGCGTCCTCTCCATCTACTACCTGGTGAGAGCGGCGGCAGCGGCGGCCGYCCGCGCGCCCGCCCCGGCCCGGCCCGCTCAGCCGCCGCCTCCCCAGGGCAAGAAGTTCGTGGGGGACCTGGGGGCGGACGGGACCATCACGTGGCAGGAGACGGGGCAGGTTTTCAACTCGCCCAGCGCCTGGGCCACCCACTGCAAGCGCCTCGTGAACCCGGCCAAGAAGTCGGGCTGCGGCTGGGCCTCCGTGCGCTACAAGGGCCAGAAGCTGGACCAGTACAAGGCGGCCTGGCTGCGGCAGCACCAGCCCAACGCGCCCGCCGCCGACGAGGTGGGTGCCCCCYGGCGGCGCCGGTGCCGCTGTGTGCGGCAATGGGTGCAGCGAGGGTGCTGCGATGCACAGCAGTGCAGTGCTGGGCACTGCGGCATGCAGCTGGGTGCAGCAATGGGGCAGCAATGTGTGCAATGGGTGCAGTGAGGGTGCTGTAGTGCATGCAGCGCTGGGCACCGCTGCATGCAGCTGGGTGCAGCAAGGGTGCAGCAATGCATGCAGTGCTGGGTGCTGCTGCATGCAGCTGAGTGCAGCACTGGGTGCAGCAAGGGTGCTGCAATGCGTGTGGTGCTGGATGCTGATGCGTGCAGCTGGGTGCAGCAGTAGGTGCAATGGGTGCAGTGAGGGTGCTGCAATGCGTGCAGCGCTGGGCACTGCTGCATGCAGCTGGGTGCAGCACTGGGTGCAGCGAGGATGCAGCATTGGGTGCATCTGCACCGCATTGCTCCCCAAAGCAGAGCCTGGCCAGCGAGGGTGAGGAGGACGAGCTGCCCGAGGAGGAAGAGGAGGAGGTGGCGCCGAGGGAGGGCCGAGCGCCGGAGCCGCCCAAGAAGCTGGAGGAGAGGAGCAAGAAGCAGCAGGGCAGGAGCCCGGCGGAGCAGCCGGCGGCAGGTGGGTGTCGCGGGCACCCTTGGGTGCTGCGCCGGGCCGGGCCGCGGTGACGGGGCTGCTTGGCTCCGCAGAGCACGGCCCCGCCGCGAAGAAGCCRGAGAACAAGCCCCGCGTCCCCGTGCGCTACTGCACCCTGGGCACCCGCGACGCGGCCAGGTAGGGGCGCGACGGGGCCTGTCCTGCGGTGCCACCGCCGGGGGCCTGGGTGGCCGGTGGCACTCGGGGCTCCGGGTGTCTTGCAGGAACCCGCAGACCCTGGTGGAGGTGACGTCCTTCGCGGCCATCAACAAGTTCCAGCCCTTCAACGTGGCCATCTCCAGCAACGTCCTGCTGCTCCTGGTGGGATTCTCGGGTGGCTGGTTGGYGGTTGTGCACAGGGGGGCGCAGCGGGGTGGCAGCGCCAGGTGGCTCCTCGYGGCAGCGGGGACCCCACGAGGGACACGTTTTGGAGCGGGGGGCACCGGGGATGGGATTTGGGTGCGCAGATCCATCGATGCCGCTCTCTCCCGCAGGATTTCCACAGCCACCTGACGCGCAGCGAGGTCGTGGGCTACCTGGGCGGCCGCTGGGACACGAGCGCGCAGCGTGGGTGGCACCGCACGGGGACGGGGACGGGGACGGGGACGGGGCCGCGGCGCTCACGCCGCGTGCCCCACAGTGCTCACCGTCCTGCGCGCCTTCCCGTGCCGCACGCGCCTGGGCGACGCCGACGCCGCCGCCGCCGTCGAGGAGGAGGTGACAACACCCCCAAAGCGCCGCCGCGGCGCCGGGGAGGGGACAACGGGGCGAGCCCTGCGTGTCCCCTGCCAGATCTGCCAGAGCCTCTTCCTGCGGGGGCTCTCGCTCGTGGGCTGGTACCACAGCCACCCGTTCGGGCCGGCGCTGCCCTCGCTGCTCGACATCGACGCGCAGATGGGCTACCAGCTGCGGCTGCAGGGCGGCCACGGCTTCCCGCCCTGCCTGGCCCTCATCTGCGGTGAGCGCCGCGCCGCGGGCGCCGCTGCGCGCGGGGCCGCGCCGCCACCGCCCGCTCCCCCCGCGCAGGGCCCTACTACCCCGGCAACCCCGGCGTGGAGTCCCGCATCGCGCCCTTCTGGGTGATGCCGCCCCCCGAGGTGAGCGTGTCCCCCGTGTCCCCCGTGTCCCCCGTGTCCCCACGGCCGTGGCAGCTCCCGCTTGCTGCTCCCCAGCAAAGGCCCAACGACTACGGCATCCCCATGGAGGTGGAGGTGGCCTACGTGCAGGACGGCTTCCTCACCAACGACGTGCTGCAGGAGATGGTGAGCGCCGCTGTCCCCGTGCCCCGGGGCCACCTACCCGCCTGGCCCCACCACAGCCAGGCCGTGTCACCCGTCCCTGTGTCCTACTGGTGATGGGGACACYGGTCACCCCTCGGTCATGTTCTGCTGGTGATGGGGACACTGGCCACCCTACGGTCCCGTCTTCCTGGGGACGTTGGCCACCTTGTAGGTGGTCCCGTCCTCCTGGTGATGGGGACATTGGCCACCCCGTGGTCCTGCCCTCCTGGTGATGGGGACATTGGCCACCCTGCGTCCTGCCCTCCTGGTGATGGGGACACTGGTCACCCCGTGGTCCTGCCCTCGGCCACCACGGGGACGGGGAGGGCGGCGAATTCCCGTCCCCGCAGCCCCCTGTCCCCGGTGCAGACGCTGCTGGTGGAGTTCTACAAGGGCGCCCCGGACCTGGTGAGATTCCAGGAGCTCTGGAGCCAGGACCAGACCTACCTGGACAAACTCAAGGTGCGCGGGAGGTGACACGGGGGCCGCGGGAAGGGCCGCCCGGCGTGGGGGCCGTGACTCGCGCTCCCCCGCAGGGCTCCCTGGCYGCGCGGACCCCCAAGGACCTCGGCTTCGCCCACGTCCTCGAGCAGATCTACGGGCTCCTTAAGCAGAGCGGCTGAGGAACCCGCGTCCCGTGGGAGCGGGCGGCCCGGGCCCGGCGCCGAGCGCCCCGTGGGGACACCCTGGGGACACCGGGACCCGAGCAGCCGCGGGGCAGCGGTACTGGGAGGGTCGTCTRTAAGTTATGGATGGAGCTGATTAAAGGGCAGTTCCCGACCGGCGCTGCGTGAGCGGCTCTGCTGTGCTGGGGACCCCCGTTAACGCCGGAGGGGACAGGGACGGGAGGAGCAAAGACCCCCGTGGGCTCCAGGTACCACCAACCTGCCCCCTTTCGTGCTCTGGAGCCCAGGGTGGCTCCTCCATCCCATGCCCAGCTCGGGGTCCTGCTCATGCTCAGGGAGAGGACGCGGCCTTTAGAAAGAAAAAAACATTTAATACTTTTATTCAGAGATACAAGTCGAGATTTGTGGGTTGTCATTTTTTTTTTCCCCTAAGAACCAGGAGAAACCCTTACAAAAAGATCGAGCAAGCTGGCCCAGCTGAAACACTGATTTCACTCCACCGGAGCGGGAGCTGCAGCTCCCGCGGTGCCATCCTGGCCCTGGCCAGGGAGGGGACGAGGGGGGACAGCGCCGAGGACACGGGTGCCTTGGGCTCCCTGCGGCGCCGGGATCGCGGGGGAGCCCGCTCGTGCGCGGGACGGGACGGGACGGGACGGGATGCACAGCCACATGCACGGTTAAAAACAGTAAAAAGGTTTTGCGTAAATGGAGCCGGGGCCGGCGAGGGAAGGAGGGGGTGCCCGGGCTCCAGAGCCCCGCGGCAGCAGGGCCCCGAGCCGGGCCGGCGGGGACAGCAGCGAGCGGGCACGGAGCGGGAGCAGCTCCYGCAGCTCCGCGGCGCTCGCGCCGGCGGGAAAGGCACGTGGGAGCGTTGGAGCAGACTGGAGCCGCTGCGGCGAGCGGCTCCGCGGGGCCCGGCGCTGCCTTAGTGTTTGACCTGCACGTAGTGTCGCTCGGCGGGGCCGGCGGCGGCCGCGTCCCCTCCCGGGGGGCCCCGGCGTCCGGCCGCGCCGCTCCCCGGAGCCGCCCCGCGCGGCCCGGCCGGAGCCCGGCTCATCCGCATGCCTGGCCCAGAGCAGAGACGGAAAAACGGGACAAGGAGAGACCTGCGGCGCGGCTACAGACCGGGAGGAACCTGGTGGGGCCCGTAAAGTACCTAAGTTCAAGCACCAGAAGGACAAAAATCAAAAAAGAAAAGAACAAAAAAATAAAATAAACCAAATGCACGGGGTCGCGGAGGGCGTTCGACCCTTCTGGCTTGTTCCCTGCTGGCAGGTTCGCCCCGAGCCGCCCCGAGCGGCAGGAGAGCCGTGGAATGGAGGCCGGTGCGGGGCCGCGGGCGACGCCGTCTCACTGAGGTAGCGGAACCAGCACTTCCACGTAGTTGAGCGGGAAGAAGCCCGACTGGCCGTTGATCATGCCCTCGTACCAGTTTTCGTCGATCTGGTTGGTGAGGGTGATGATGTCGCCCTCCTTGAAGCCCAGCTCGCCGTCGTTCTCGGGCTCGAAGTCGTAGAGCGCCTTGCAGCAGGGCTGGTCCAGGGGAGCTGCGGGCAGAGGCCGGCGGCAGCGGTGAGCGGCGGCAGCGGCGCGCGCCGGGCCCCGGCGTCCAGCTCTGCCTCCTGGCTGCAGCCGTCGCCTCCGCTCCCCGCGCGGCTCCGAGCCAGCCCTGCTGGTGCTCGCGCCCACGTGGCGGCCTCCACCGGCCTCTGCCATCCTCCACC